AATATGAAGACATGATGAAAACTGATGAACTAATGATGAAACATGATGAACAGTTGATGAACACTTATGAACACATGATTAACCATGATGAACACATGATAAACAATGATGAAACATAGGTGATTTTTGCTAACTATAAGTTTTTTTTTCAATTCACCGGTCGCAGGGCGAAAACAGTTGAATCACCTCATATCTTCCAGTGACAGGAAATTATCAACAAACCACATACCATTGAAGTATCTATATATTGGTAATAACAGTATATTGGATGATATATATATATATGGTTTGTCTCTATGATGGTATATATATATATACATATGATATTAGATCATTATAGATCCCATTTATGACATAGGGCATACTGGTACCGGCCGGTTATCAACATACAAATTTCGGCCGGGGACGTCCAAGTCCAACCAGCGAATGGGGATGTAGCATCTCTAGGTCAATGGACTGGATGGGTAGAGGGCCTAATCCAACATAGTCTTTTGGTACCAATGGGATATATAGTGAATATATTGTATAACAGTTACTATGGTACCAATATAGTCAATAATAGTTCTTATTGTAATAGTATGATATACCTTCTGGTAATACGTACCATGGTTGCTTCAATACGAAGTCATGGTCTATTTAATTTATGATTTGGGGGTAAAAAACCCTCTGGTAAACATACAAAAAGCTATGGAAAATCCACCCAATTTTTAATAGGTAAATCAACTATTTCTATGGGCCATTTTCAATAGCAAACTGTAAACGTTTACCAGGCCGGGTAGTCTTTTAGTACCTACCAATGGGATTCTCTACGTTTACCAGCTAAGATTTTGGAACATTCTTTGCAGGGTCTCTGGCTGAGTGGCCATGATCTGGGGAATGTGCGGATGATGAAGTGGGACATTGATGGGTGTGTATATTGTTGGGGCTGTGTGATAAAAAAAGAACTGTAACCAAATAGTGTTTAAAAAAAACAGTGGTTCTCCTTTTTTTCGGGAAACATGCATTGACATAGGCAATTGTATGCCCCTTATATCCTGAGTCAACGTGATCTGGATATATCTGGATCATTCACAAGACTTGGGGTTGTGCGAAATCGCTTCACATTCGGACCTGTTTGAAACCTTGGTCGTGCATGTATTGGATTTGTTCATGACTTAGCAGCCCCTTTTTTGGATGCATTTCATGACTTGGGGGGAAGGGATTAACTAGGTCCACGGCTCACAGGCGGCCGTGAGGAATTCAGCACACCAGCAATGCGGAGCATTTGTTTTTCTGCTGATTTACAGTGGTCAGAGCATTCCAGTCCATTTTGGATCTTTCACGCAGCCGTGCCATTGGTTAAAGCGGCTTCATCTCGTAATTAGATGGGGAAAATATGTTTTTTAGTCATTTTGCAATGCAGTCAAACTATTTGTTTCAGTGGATGAAGCCGTCATTGAAAGTCATGATATTTCTTCAGCAGATCGACAAGGCATGACATCAATCAAGAGTGTCTTGCAAGTTACAAGAAGAAGTTGATAGCGTGTGGCAGGGTACGGTGCAAGAGAAGAGTGCATAGCGTAGCAGAACGTCCAAGAGAAGATCTTGAAAGGCGGGCAGCCAAGAACGTTATTAGCCCCCCCCAAAACCCCCCAAAACCCCCCCAAGAAACAAGAATGCAAAATCAAGAGTGTCTTGCAAGTTACAAGAAGAAGTTGATAGCGTGTGGCAGGGTACGGTGCAAGAGAAGAGTGCATAGCGTAGCAGCAAGTCCAAGAGAAGATCTTGAAAGGCGGGCAGCCAAGAACGTTATCAGCCCCCCCCAAAAAAACCCCCCCCAAGAAACAAGAATGCAAAATCAAGAGTGTCTTGCAAGTTACAAGAAGAAGTTGATAGCGTGTGGCAGGGTACGGTGCAAGAGAAGAGTGCATAGCGTAGCAGCAAGTCCAAGAGAAGATCTTGAAAGGCGGGCAGCCAAGAACGTTATCAGCCCCCCCCAAAACCCCCCAAAACCCCCCCAAGAAACAAGAATGCAAAATCAAGAGTGTCTTGCAAGTTACAAGAAGAAGTTGATAGCGTGTGGCAGGGTACGGTGCAAGAGAAGAGTGCATAGCGTAGCAGCAAGTCCAAGAGAAGATCTTGAAAGGCGGGCAGCCAAGAACGTTATTAGCCCCCCCCCAAAACCCCCCAAAACCCCCCCAAGAAACAAGAATGCAAAATCAAGAGTGTCTTGCAAGTTACAAGAAGAAGTTGATAGCGTGTGGCAGGGTACGGTGCAAGAGAAGAGTGCATAGCGTAGCAGCAAGTCCAAGAGAAGATCTTGAAAGGCGGGCAGCCAAGAACGTTATCAGCCCGCCCCCAAAACCCCCCAAAACCACCCCCAAGAAACAAGAATGCAAAATCAAGAGTGTCTTGCAAGTTACAAGAAGAAGTTGATAGCGTGTGGCAGGGTACGGTGCAAGAGAAGAGTGCATAGCGTAGCAGAACGTCCAAGAGAAGATCTTGAAAGGCGGGCAGCCAAGAACGTTATTAGCCCCCCCCAAAACCCCCCAAAACCCCCCCAAGAAACAAGAATGCAAAATCAAGAGTGTCTTGCAAGTTACAAGAAGAAGTTGATAGCGTGTGGCAGGGTACGGTGCAAGAGAAGAGTGCATAGCGTAGCAGCAAGTCCAAGAGAAGATCTTGAAAGGCGGGCAGCCAAGAACGTTATTAGCCCCCCCCCCCAAAACCCCCCAAAACCCCACCCAAGAAACAAGAATGCAAAATCAAGAGTGTCTTGCAAGTTACAAGAAGAAGTTGATAGCGTGTGGCAGGGTACGGTGCAAGAGAAGAGTGCATAGCGTAGTCCAAGAGAAGAAGAACGTTATTAGCCCCAAGAACAAGAGCAAAATCAAGAGTGTCTTGCAAGTTACAAGAAGAAGTTGATAGCGTGTGGCAGGGTACGGTGCAAGAGAAGAGTGCATAGCGTAGCAGAACGTCCAAGAGAAGATCTTGAAAGGCGGGCAGCCAAGAACGTTATTAGCCCCCCCCAAACCCCAAAACCCCCCCAAGAAACAAGAATGCAAAATCAAGAGTGTCTTGCAAGTTACAAGAAGAAGTTGATAGCGTGTGGCAGGGTACGGTGCAAGAGAAGAGTGCATAGCGTAGCAGCAAGTCCAAGAGAATATCTTGAAAGGCGGGCAGCCAAGAACGTTATCAGCCCCCCCCAAAACCCCCCAAAACCCCCCAAAACCCCCCAAAACCCCACGGCCGTCTATAAGCCGTGGTCCAACTACTTAGATTACTTAGTACTTAGTACCCAATATCAGTCAAACATACTGTGAAATAATTGATAGATGATTAAAAATTGGTTTATCAACCTAAAATGTACATATACAGTAATTATATAAGATGTGTGTATATACTGTATGTATATATATATATATATATATAAACATATATACTTGGGATTTCTTCATAATCCACGAGCTGCGTAACTCCGCCGGTCACACTGAGATTCCGAGATCAAAATCTAAGGCCACGGCCGACGGGACACAAAGTCCTTTGATCGAAGAGATGCGAAGACAACATGTGCACGAGGCCAGAAAGCCGGCGGGCGGAGTTGAGTTGAACCAATGAGTTTTTCGAAGAAACACTTGAGCAGTGGCTGCGATCTACCCTGGTTGGTTTTTGATTAGTTCGGGGGATGAAAATCTACGCTTCATATATTGGGGATTATGATAATCCAATAGGGCGAATCCCTCTAAACCAACCAGTATAAGAGGGTGAGGTTTATAACTGGGGGTTTCCATAAATATGGGTACCCCGGTCGCTCGCTGGATGGTTTATTCACCCCGCTTCGCGTGGGGTGGCCGCCCACACCGCACGTTTAGTTCGGTCCGTGAGAGGGGCTAAGGGTGGTGTGGAATATGAGGAGCAGAGCAGCACAGGAGAATTGACATACATAACTGCTGGGTTCGTGAATATTTTTTTAAGTGGACTGAAAATATGTTTTTTGCCGCAATGCTTCCAATTGGGGCTTCCCAAGCTAAGCAATTTTCACTTTTCCCCCCCGTGGGGGCTTCCCAAGCTAGGGAATTTTCACTTTTCCCCCCGTGGGGGCTCCCCAAGCTAGGGAATTTTCGCTTTTCCCCCCCGTGGGGGCTTCCCAAGCTAGGGAATTTTCACTTTTCCCCGCCGTGACAGCTTGCCAAGCTATGGAATTTTCACTTTTCCCTCCCTTGGAGGCTCTCCAAGCTGCGGAATGTCAAATAGCTAGACAACGACGCCTAGATAGTCCCCCAAATCCCGTGTTCTTTGAATGTGTTTCCATGTTTTTGCAATGGTTTCCTTCAAAGCACGGTACTTTACACTTTTGTCGCCACAAAACCGGTCGAAAACATCATGTTCGACAATGCATCCAATTCCCTTATCTCCCCTCAAATACCGCTATTTACAGTGTTTTCTTCAATTTTTCCATGTTCCAATGCCGGTAGCCAACTCCAACATATATATATATAAGAAATCCTTCCAAAACATTGTTTTTGACAGTGTTTTTCCAATGTTTCCAGTCAAACAGACGGTAATTTACACGTTTTTTGCCATAAAGGCAGTAAATCCTTCCAAAACATTGCTTTTGACAGTGTTTTTGCAATACTTCCAGTCAGGCATACGGTACACGTTTTTTGCTATAACGTCAGTCCAAAACACTTGTTTTTGCAGTGTTTTCAATGCTCTGGCATCTAAAAACCCTGCAAAATCTTGCTATGTACCATGTTTTTTTCATTTTTGGCCGTTTTTCCATTGCCGGAAAGCTACCAAAATGACCCAAATTCCATTTCAATACCCTCTTGCGCTCAGACACCCTAAAATCCTCGAAAAATGTCGAAAACACCACCGAATTCTGGTCTCGGTGCGAAGCCGTTTTTGGCCCCCCCCCCAGCTAAAGCTGATATAGCGACTGCTATTGCAGAACGGCATACCCTGTTTTTCATACTTTGGTAGATCTGTACATTTAATTCAGACATGTTGCACCAATTGACATGTCACTGAACCCTTTTACCAACTGCAGTCGACGTAGCTGCCCTTTTGAAGCTCAAACACCCGAGCTGCTGCCGGTGAAAACAGAGAAGGCGGCCGCTTGCTATGTGGACGAGGTGCGGAGGACTGAAGGTTGGGGACCTGGCCATTTCCAGGTTATGAGCCCAAGCGGTTCACTGGGCAGATGAGTGAGTTCCATAGGAGAAGGGCCACCAAAGAAGAGATGGAGCAGGGTCAAAAGGAGATAAGACTAGCTGATGAAAGAATGAAAACAGAGGCTGAGAGTAGGGGTGAGATGCCTATACAAAACGGACCTGAAGAAAAACCTGAGGATGTTGTAGAAGGGGAAACGTCTCCACCGAAAGAGGGTAAGAGAGATGAACCTCAAAGAGGTACCCCTGCAAGGAATTCCAATCAGGGTTCAGGTGCCAAAGCGTTGTTGCCGCCTACACAACCTCCTCCTGATCCTCCTGCCCTTTCTCTACGTCAAGAGGTGGTGAACTCCCTTGAGAAGAATACGCCCGCCGACAAGGGTGAAGGCAACTTCAATGGTGGACCTTTGATGAGGGAGATTGCAACTCCCCCTGAACAACAAGCAGGAGATGATGCAACCCAAGTGCAAGGGCAATCCATGGCACCTCCGTTGTTCACCGAGGAGCAGCTGAGAAACTTTGCTGCACTGCAGGGACAAGCCGCATGGATGTATGGGCCCCAACAGTCGTTTTTCAATCCAATTGGTTTTTCACGTCCTTCATTTTTGGATGGAGATGCAGCCAGAGCTTCAGTGAGTCAACATGAAAGAGACATGGAGTTTCTGAGAATGCAAGCAGTGAGAGACCGAGAGGAGAAAGACGAATGTAGAAGGCAGATTCAACTGTTGGTAGAAGAGAACCGTCAGTTGAGAGCCAGGTTTGAAAGTGCTAGCAAGATGCAGACTGAGGATGAACCTAGGTTTGCGACTCCTGAGGAACAGCCGGATCAGACCAGCCCAGGTTTCGACATGGATGTGGATTGGTTGAAGCGGCGAAAGGAGGCTGACAGACCCCCATCAAAGGAGGCTGACAGACCCCCATCAAAGGAGGCTGACAGACCTCCATCAAAGGAGGCCGACAGACCCCCATCAAAGGAGGCTGCCAGACCCCCATTCCTACCTGAGGCTGCAGAGTTCAAAACCCCCAAGGAGGCTGCCAGACCCCCAAAGGTGGAAGCATCACAGCGTCCCCAAGAAGAAGGAAGCCGAGGTGCACCTGGTGGAGGGAATGCGCAGTTCACTGAGAAATCTTTGGAGTTCATGGTGATTATGATGGAAACTATGAAGGACCTACACAAGAAGGTCAACGAGACAAAGGATGAGACTGGCATGGTTCGAGGAGTTGAGATTGTGAGGTCCGGCACTCCTGACCTGCCGGTGTTGACCCTTGACCCCCTGGTCACCAAGCCAGGGTCCCCTCCAGTTGGGAGATTGGCTTCTGACTGTGGAGCCGATCATAGCTGATTTGTCAGCAACTTCAGAAGTGTGGTGGTCGCTGATGGTGAAGTCTGCAGAGCAGTGGTACCAGAAGCACATGATGATGCCCCCACTAGATCGAGTTCAACATGAAGTTCAACCGCCCCCAGAGGTCACCTTGGAAAAATGGTCCAGGTTGGAAAGAAGAACGGCATCGATGCTGCTTCAATCTGTGCCGGAGGTGGTCAAGGAGGAGTTGGTTTCAGCTCGACGGCTGAGCGTTTTTGGGATTTTGACGCAACTGCTGTTGACGTATTGCCCAGGTGGCGTCTTGGAGAAGCAGACATTGCTGAGAAGTTTGGAGGAGCCAACAGAGGTCACCACGGTGGGCGAGGCTCCTGCTGCAATACGTCGGTGGCTACGTTGGAAGCTGCGGTCCCAGGAGATCGGTGCAGTGACCCCAGACCCGGCACTGTTGTTGAAAGGTCTGAACAAGTTAACACGCCGAGTCCTGGAGTCCAACAAAGAACTACAATTCAGGGTCAGCCTGGCCCGAAATTCCCTTGGTGTGGATACGAGGCCGACCGACACCACAGTCAGCCAGTTTGCCACGCACCTTTTGGCTGAGATCGAACAAGTTGCTCTTTCCGAAAAGAGGGCCACTGCTGCAATGCCAAAGAGCGAGGTGAAGATCAAATACTTGGATGCAGACAAGAACAAGCCAAAGACCAAAGAGAGGCCTACAGAGGAGGACAAGCCGAAGCCAAAATGCAGGTTTTTTCTCACAGATGCTGGTTGCAAAAGGGGAAAGGAGTGCACGTTTAGCCATGATGTCAAAGATGATCGTCGCAGGTGTTACAACTGCGGCAGTGTGGATCACCTTTCACCAAGTTGCACCAGGTCAAAAGGCGCTTCTACTGAAACAAGCCCCAACAAGCCAAGGGTTGCCAAGGCCGAGGGGGAGGAGCGCAATGTGACTTCACCAATGAAGGAGTCAGAGACTGGAAGCCAATCTAGTCAAGGGGAGGCAGTGAAGGACTTGCTGGAGGAGGCCAACCGGATGTTGAAGTCTCTGTCGAGCTCTTCCAACACTACTGCTTCTACAACCTCTTCGACGTCTGAAGAAGAGCGAAAAGATGTGATGGAGCGCCTTCATCAGCAGTTGAAGTCGATGAAGACGTTCAAGATGAAGAGACTCAATGTTGGGAATGATGTTGGACTTGTGGATTCAGGTGCAACACATCCACTTCGTCCTAGACATGAAGGCGAGAATGTTGATTTGTACCCAGTGGTGGAGGTGGCATTGGCAGATGGAAGGACGGTGAGGTTGAAAATGTCCCCTGGAGGTGCTATGATATCACCTTCACCTGCCATCGAGCCTATCATCCCTATGGGCTTGTTGTCGCAGAAGCTGAACTGTGACATTTCCTGGAAGCAAGGATCTATGCAGATCCACCATCCTCTGAGAGGAGAAATCAAGGTGATGATGAAGGGAAGTTGCCCCCATGTCGCCAGATCTGAGGCTTTGACGTTGATTGCGGAGCTGGAGGACATCAAGATGGGCATTCCCAATGAGATTGGAAGTTTTGATGCGGAAGTGGCATGGCTGAGAAAGCTGGTGTCGCAGCATCCAGTGCTGTCTTCACTCCCAGAGCACATCAAGGAGCGGCTGGTGGTGGAGCCTGGAACTTGGTCTGATCTTCCAGGCAACAGACACTCAAGAAAGCGCTGGAAGAGGAGTGGCTTAGCAGTTCATTTGTATGCTGGGCCAGAAACAGGGTTCACTTTGCGGCATGCCATCAAACAGCTGGGTGGTTCTGTCGATGCCTTGTTGGAAGTTGATGTTCAACGAGGAGAACAACATGACATGCTGTCGGACCACGCAGTTTATCGTGGTCTGTTCCATACAGGAGAGATTGTCGAGTATGCCAGGAGAGCTCACAACAATGCCCGCCCCATCGACTGGTCAAGGACCCAATTGCTGGAGTGCTTTCAATCGACACAGCTGGTCCACTGAAGCCTGCTTATGATTTGGGTGGGCACATGGCAAGGTATTTTTTGGTTGGAGTTTTGACCTGGAGGGTGCCAAAGGGGAGTGACAAGATGCAGAACCCCTCTGAAGAAGCAGCTTCCGAAGGAGCTCCTGAGATTGAAGAAGGAGCTGAGGATCCAAATCCACCGGGCGAGGACGGATTGGAAGCTGAGGAGTTGCTTCCAGCCCAGCTCCCTGGTGAAGCGCCGGCTGAAGGAGAGCCTGGCGACGCCCCTGGTGAGGACGGGTTGGAAGGTCAAGCTGATCTTCCAGTCCAGCTCCCAGGCGAGGCGTTTGGACCCCCAAATTTGGATGAGGTCACAGAATTGAGAAGGTTCAGAATGGCCTTGCCGATGGGTTCCAAAAAGGCGAGAGACGTGGTGAACACGGTGATGGAGTTTGTGTTGCGGCTGCGGACGGAAGGGTTCCATGTGGGCCGCATCCATTCAGACCAAGGACATGAGTTCGCTGGCGAGTTCAAGACATGGGCCCGACAGCGTGGGATCTACCTCACCAAAACACCAGGTGATGATCCAGCCGCAAACGGCAGAGCTGAAATGGCGGTGAAGGACTTCAAGAACCAGATCCGCAGAACGTTGAGGCAGGCCAGTGAAGATGCGAAATGGTGGCCATGGGCTTTGAGGTACGTCAATGAGGTGTACCGATGTGTCCGGATGGAGACAAGACCAAGTTGGCCGAGGTTTTTGGAAGAAGTGAGAGTCCGAAAGCGGACATGGAGGCGGGATGACCTGGACCCCAGAGTGGAGAAGGTTCAGTATCTATGCCCTTCAGTGGAAAACCATGGTCATTGGGTGATCAAAGAAGGCGAAGCACCACGCCTGACGCGCTACATTTTGGCGCCCACCATTGAGCCGGAGGATGAGACGGTTTGGATTGCGGTGGAAAGAGAAGGGCGAGATGCACAAGAACAACGACGCCGAATCAGAGGCAGATCAGCAGTGAGGAGAATGGATGCCTCAGTTGCAGATCCTGAGGAGGTGCTGGAAGAAAAAGAAAAGGCTGAAGTTCAAAGGTTGATGAAGGTGGTGGAAGATGAAATGCAGTCCATCATCAACGACGACCCAGATCTGGCCGCCGAGGAAGTCAGAATTTTGGGAAGGCTGAGAAAAATGGCTGAAGTGAAGGAGGATGGAGATGAGATCCTTCAAACAAAGGTCATCTCACCAAAAGAGGTGGTCAGAAACTGGTCGGAATGGATCCCATCAGTGAGGAGCGAGGTGGAGTCCCTGACCATTGAGAAGGCAGCCTTGAAGGAGCTGTCAAAGGATGAAGTCAAAGCGTTGAAGAAGAAGGCAGAAAAGGAGGGTAAGAAGTTGGAGATCATACCTTCCAAACTGGTGTTCACTGTGAAACCTTCCCCAGACCACAAAGAAGGGAAAAAGAAAACCCGGTGGGTTGTTTGCGGAAACTATGAGGAGAAGAAAGAGGGGGAGGAAAACTACTCAGGTGGTGCAGATGCCACATCTTTGAGGTTGCTGGCATGGATTGCATCCCGCATGAAGTGGGCCGGATGCATCCTGGATGTCAGAACTGCTTTCCTCAACGCGCAGATGGAACAGGAGCCGGATGAGGACCTTCTTTTGGTCCAGCCACCCCACATCTTGAAGGAGATGAAGTTTCTGGACCCGGACACACTGTACCTGCCATTGAAGGCAGTGTACGGCTTCAGGCGCTCACCAAAGCTTTGGGGTCTTCATCGAGACAAAACGATCAAGACCTTTGACATCAAGGTGGTCATTGATGGCCGCTGCGAAAGCCTGGAGCTGAAGCCGATGGAGTCAGAGCAGAACCTATGGAAGGTGGTTGTGGTCAGAGGAGGCTTCCAAGAGGCAGAAGAAGAATGGATCTCAAACGGCCGAGTCATTGGCCTTGTGATGACGTATGTCGACGACATTTTTATCGTCGCCGAGAAGCAGGTGGCGAAGTCAGTTGCTCAGAAGTTTCAAGAGACCTGGGCGACCACACAACCGGAGTGGGTTGGCGAGACACCAGTGAGGTTTTTGGGCCTGGAGGTGACTTGCCACCAAATCGAGGGGGAGGAGAAGGTCCAATGGTGCCTTTCACAAGAGGCATACATCAAAGACTTGCTTGGGCGCTATGAGGAGGAGGGAAAACCACGAAAGCTCCCTATCACCCGTGACCAAGCTTCGATGCCTCCAGATGTGATTCCCCCTTCGCCAGAAGGAGTCAAGTTTTCCCAGAAGGTCATCGGCGAGTTGCTTTGGCTGGTGACCCGAAGCAGACCAGATTTGATGTTTGGAGTTTCCAGGATGGGGGCCAACGTTTTGAAGGCCGCCAACTGCATCAAGGACACAGCAGCACAAATGAGGTCCTATCTCAGGAGAACTGCAGGTGAGGGCCTACAGTACAAGCAGAAGATCGATGACCCGATCACGCTGTATGTCTACTCAGACTCCAGCTTTGCACCCGAAGCAGATGAGTCCCATGGATCGTTTGTGGTTATGGTGAACGATGGGTTGATGTTTTGGAGAAGCGGCAGGCAGGGCACAATCACCTTGAGCACGGCCGAGTCAGAGTTGATGGAGCTCGTTGAGGCGATGATTGCCGGCGAGTCAGTTTACGTCGTGCTGGCAGAGCTGTTTGGTGAAATCTCAAAGGTGGCATTGTGCGATTCGCAAGCTGCACTGGCCATTTTGGTTGCTGAGGGCGGAAGCTGGAGGACAAGACACCTCAGGCTGAGGTGGGCGTTTGCTCGCCAATCTGTGCTGCGTGGTGACTGGCAGGTGGGTCATGTCCCTGGTGAGAAGATGTTGGCGGACCTGGGCACAAAAGTTCTGACCTCATCGAGGATGGAAACTTTGAAGCAGATGATGGGCATGGGAGTTGCTCAGCCCGAAGAAAAAGGTGTTGAAATGGAGAAGGATGAGAAAAAAGAAAAGGAGATCAAGACCGACTCAAAATCGGTCGCCACCATGGCCGTCAAGCTCATCACGATGGCGGCCTTGTTGTCAGTGTCAAAGGCTCAAGGAGATGAAGAAGACGATGAACCAGCAGGTGACTTCCACAACTTTATGGTCATCTACACGGTGCTGATCATTCTGACCACGCTGATGGTCCAAATCCTGTGGAAGGTAGGAGTAGGCGCATTGGGCGAAAACTGGAAAAGAAGGTTTTTTACCCGTGGCCGAAGTCTCCCCATGGGTGAGGAAACGTCATGCAGTGGCAGAGGGTCGAGCATGTGCTGAGGTGTGCGGACCCGTGGAAAGACCACGGCATCTGCCCTCGGCTGCTGGGTCGTCAAACCAGCCAAGCCCCGCTGAGGACGGGTTGGGGATGGAGGAGGGATCCCCAGTCCAGCTCGCGGTGGCTGAGCAGCGACGCGCCGGTGAGGGCGGGTTGGGGCAGAGGGCCTCAGTCCAGCTCCCAGCTTCGGCGGGTGAGGGCGGGTTGGAGGGTCATGCTGATCCTCCAGTCCAGCTCCCGGCTGCGCCTGCAAAAGCTCCCCCGCCAAAGGAGGGACCAAAGGCCCCGTCAAAAGCGGGCCAAACACCAAAGGCCCCACCAAAAGCGGGCCCAAAACCAAAGGCCGCACCACAAAGTGGCCCATCAGCTTCCAGCTCCTCAAGTGGAAGCACATCAAGCAGTATGACAGGCCGAATTGAGACGGCGATTCAAGACATTGCGTATGAAGAGGCAGCCCTGTGGGACCATTTTGGGAGGCAGGGCGACTTTCCAGGAGTGCCAGAAGATCATAGCAGAGCAGAACTTGGATTTCAGGTGTTGAGGACGCCATGTGGAACAGTGTATCACGATACACGTGGATGCACCCAGCTTCAAGGACCACGAACTGGCTATGCGAGACCGTTCACATGGTGTGCCTTGTGCCGAGAGGTTGCGATGCGCACCCGTGGAAGACCAATCCCTGAAGTCCGCTGCTTTTACGAATGGGCGATCAGACCGTCCATACTGATCGAAGATGCCCGAGAGCACGAGATGCTACGGAGCTGAGAGGATGCATGTACTGTACAGAGTACAATGGGTAGGGCAGGTTGAGCTGTAAAGAAAGAAATGGATGCACTCTAACGACGCATCCAAGGGGGAGTGCAGAACGGCATACCCTGTTTTTCATACTTTGGTAGATCTGTACATTTAATTCAGACATGTTGCACCAATTGACATGTCACTGAACCCTTTTACCAACTGCAGTCGACGTAGCTGCCCTTTTGAAGCTCAAACACCCGAGCTGCTGCCGGTGAAAACAGAGAAGGCGGCCGCTTGCTATGTGGACGAGGTGCGGAGGACTGAAGGTTGGGGACCTGGCCATTTCCAGCTATATTAACAAATGTGATTGAGCATTTAGTGTAGCTGTTTTGCCCCCCAATAAGCACGCCTTCACCGCCAAAGCGGTGTGGGCGGATTTCATGGACAATCCTATAAGCATGGATGAACTAGGGGTAGCCCATGACTTTGGAAACCTTTACTTGACCATGGATCATACCTCTCCAGGATCTATGATGATCTATGTATAATCCTATGATATTTCTTTTCTGACACATTCTGACACCTAAGATCAGCAAAAAAAAACCCAGATCACAGGATTCCAACGTATATTGGCCAAGTTAGCTATCACTTTCCTATTGTTGGCTGGTGATTTACTCACTTTTTCCATCCGTTCAATGTCAGATCCACCAGAAATCACATATCAATAATATGTTGGCTGACCAACTTTTGTTGTTTAGATCTTCATGTTTGGTAAAAATCCGGTCATTTAAATCGTGTGAACGTTAGCCATGCGCAAAAAAAACCCGATTCTCCATGCTTGAATACTTATGAGGGTTCAACTGCATTTCCGAATGTGATTTTCCCCTCAATGTTCCAGAAAATGTTCCAATCACCTCAGTCACCTCCTATCATAATTTCCCAGCATTTTTTCCATTAACCATAGATTAACCATAGATTAACCATAGATTAACCATAGATTCCCCATCATTTTCTTCTCATTTTCAGGGAAAATAGACCTGGCCAGACCTGATTTACACCTCAGGTCTTGGAGTTTACAGCCGAGATTTCCCACCAGCTCATCAGGCGAACATTTGTAAATTGCTGGTGGTTTGGAATCCCCCAAAAATGGCATTGAAATGGTGATTTTATGGTATTTTAATGGGATTTTATGGTATTTTAATGGGACTTAATGGGATTTTGTGGTATTTTAATGGGATTTAATGGGATATATGATGGTTACCCTCTGGTAATTTGTTACATAGCAAAATGGAAAATCCACCAATTTTTCATGGGTAAATCAGCTATTTCTATGGCAATTTTCAATAGTTATGTTAGTTTACCAGAGGGTATAGGGGGCCAAACCCCAAGCTCGCTGGATGGTTGATAAATTGCGATTTTTTGAAAAAAATTGGGCATTTTTTGTGGCATATGACTAGGTCAATCTTGGCTAATCCTAACTAGTCGTTTGGTCATTGGTGCCAATGGGATTATCTACGTTCACCAGCTAAGAATTTCATTTGTTGCAGGGTATCTAAACCGGGGGTACCCAAAATGGATGGTTTATAATGGAGAATCCTCTAAACATGGATGATTTAGGGGTATCCCTATTTCAGGAAACCTCCATATATAGACATTTTTTGGGATTCTTCCAATCTTTTTGGGTGGAATGTAATATCATGTAATATCCTTATAGGGAAATATGATAAATAAATATATATGGTGATCGATCTAAAGGTCCTTGTAAGGAGTTTTAATTGCGAAAACCGTGCATGTTATGTTGGAAACCCTCGCGAAAGTTTTTTTTCGAGTTCGCGAAAGTAAAATTTTATTTCGCGAAAGTTTCGCGAAAGTTGGGTGTTATAATCATTATATGTAAAGGGCTGCCACCCACTGCCGCCCGGGGTCCGGCAGGAGAAGGGCACCAGAGAATGCGAGTAGCAGTAGCCAAGTTTCCATAAGTGAGGCTTTGCGAGAGCCAAACACCAAGGCCCCTGGTCTTCGCTTTTCCTTCAGTGCACCCCCTGCTGATGGCCGGGGTCTGTGACTAGGGATATTTTCGCGAAAGTTCCGCGAAAGTTATGCGAAAGAGCGGGCGAAAGTCAAAGTGCATGTTGAAGGGGGTGGGTCAGTAAACTTTGCAAAAAAAAAACTGTCCTGAGAAGGGATTCCGTGATGCTAGCTGCATGTTTAAAAGGCTACCAAGAAGTGATCCGTGATTCTCTGGCGTAATTTGGCAGGTGGTGAACGAATCTTCATAAGAGGTGTTGTTGGCCAACATGGGCCCCGCGAAAGATAAACATGGAGTTCGCGAAAGTTTCGCGAAAGTAAAATTTTTAATCGCGAAGAATGGCCGTTCCGGGATAAAGGAATTTTGATCAACAACCATATATATATATATATACATGCCCAGGCCCGGATGAATAGCCATTGGTGAGTCATCATTTCCCCCATTTTTTCTAAGATAGTCATCTGGGGGTATACTCCATTCTGAGACGAACTCATTTAAATGGAGATAACTTATCTGGATATATATATATATACATATGTATAATTAGTTGTATACTGTAGATGGTTATTTTTTTTTTTTGAGTATATGCTTATGACTCATACTGATTATATATTTAAATAGTTGTCAATGTATATGAATCAATACAAATGATTATTATTTTAAACATACATGCAACTGGTGATTTTTTTGTGTTCTCGTGTTTTGTTTCCATGTTTGCTGGCGATTTTTACACGGGAGTTTGGGTCAAGTCTTGCTCCCCTGTTTTATGACTAGTCACTAGTCAGTCATCGAATCAATCAGAGTTTTAGTCACTGTTTAAAACTGGAATCATTCTCGGAGATTGACAGCTGATGTTCTTTTTGAATAACAACCAATTTTCGGAAGACACTTGCTGAATCTGAGCACAGCCTCATGTCTTGTCAGGCAAGCTGGTGGGGAATCATACGCAACTTGGCAATGACGAATATCGCTGTGGTGGGTGTTCTTAATGAAGGTACTGATAGTGAACATCTGGAAATATGTATGTATGTAAATCTATTATGGTTGTCAAGTTGCTCCGTGCCATACTATCTATGGCTTCGTTTTTGAAGACTCTTGAGCCTTCCCTTGTCTGATGTTTTTTGGCGGTAAACGTTTGCAAGCATAGCATATGTGAATCATTCAAAGTGATCTGTTTCCTGGTCAAACATCTTTTCTTGGGAGTTCAGATGATGACAACTTTATGACAATTACTTTGGCAACCATGCCACAACATCTTAGATCATTTCATGGTTGTAATGCCTAGAGATCATTTAAGGAACAGTGCCGAAAAAAACTCCCCAACAGTTGAAAAAGGAACACTTGCGGGACTGAAATCAAATGCAACCGATGTTTGATGGAATTCATCAACATTCACAGATATTGACACACCATTTTAAGCGCCTTAACATGAAGCTGCATCTTTTTATCATGGACCATTTGGGCTATTTGGGCTAAAAAAACAATGGACGGAAGTGCGACGGAAGTCCTGGATGCCCTCGTCTCATGGTGGCTGGTGGCCATAAGAAAAGGGGGTATGGAAAACTAGGTCAATCGGCTGGATGGGTAGAAACTACCCTCTGGTAAACTAACATAGCTATTGAAAATGGCCATTCATAGTGGATTTTCCCATTAAAAATGGTGATTTTCCATAGTTATGTTAAGGTTTACCAGAGGGTAATCCAAAATAGTCTTTTGGTAGCTTCATGGGATTATCATGGATGATCTACGTTCACCAGCATTCAGAATTTCTGAAAATTTTTGCAGGCGATCTGGCTGATTGGCCATGTTTAGATGAACTGCTCCTTGTTGATGAGCGAGGTGTGAAGCCCCGTGGCTCAACATCTCACATATTTTCCCATGGAATCCACACGTTTGTTGCTATTTTACTAGGGAAAATGGTGATTTTACTAGGGAAAATGATGATTCTACTAGGGAAAATTGTGAACAAATCCCTAGTGGTCGTCAAATTCGCAGACGGGGCGTCATCTCTTTGGCTTTGGCACATTCTCAACATGTCGTGGCGATGATGGACAAACATCATGAGGAATCGTTCAAGAGAAACACAAGTCACTACCTAGATGTCTCATTTTCTCACATGACCTTGGTCTTGTGGTGTGTTTTTCCACTGAACATCACTTTGGAAGTTGGTTATGAGAATGATGTTAGAGTTGGAAGTGGTATGGATGTTAGTGCCAATATTAGTTCCAACTAACCTCATGGCTTTGCTTATCATCCCCATTCTATCCTCAAAATCACACCATCATTATCCCATAATTATCACTATGCCATCATACCATAGTTAACATCATACCATCAACACAACAAAAACCATATTAATCCCATGATATTATCATACCATCATGATCCCATAATAAATGAAGGTATCTCATAGTATCATCATGTTGATCGTCCAATTATTATGAACGCCATTGTACATTTCAATATTGCTATTCATCATCCCATTCATCATCTGGTTGGTGGTTTGGAACATTTTTTACTTTTCCATAATATATGGGATAATCCTTCCCATTGACGAACTCCATCATTTTTCAAGATGGTTTTAAAACCACCAACCAGATTATTATTAACCATATAAACCATATATTAACCATATATTGACCATATATTAACCATATGTTAACCATATATTAGTCATATATTAACCATATATTAGTCATGGAACAACACACCAAAATCCATGGGAATTTCCAACGGGAACCTCCACGGGGCCAAGGTGAACCTCCACGGGAGGCTCGACCCTCACATCTTGATCCAACGAGAGGTCGGAGTCGCTCCGAGGGATCCAACGGGGTAAAACGGATCCAACGGGGGGGATCGCCCAAAAAGGAACGATCCATGGATCGAAAGAGACCTGTATATGTATGTGTATGTGTGTATATATATATGTATATATATATATAAAATATATATATATATACATCATATATAGTTTTAAATAAC